AACCCGAAAACCCAAAACCCCAAACCCTCAACCCCAAAACCCCAAAACCCCAAACCCTCAACCCGAAGACCCAAAACCCCGAACCGTAAACCCTCAAAGAAGGGCTGGGTTCATCCATCAAATCAAACACCAAAGCGCGGGGCAGGATCAAGAAAAGGGGCCTCGGGGACCTCTCTTCTGAAGGAGATACCACCCAACTGACTCTTATGTCTGTCTGTATATATATATATATATAGATATATAATATCACTTCTTATTGCGACATATTTTGTATATACTGTATACTGTACACTTCATATATATATATATATATATATATATGTGTATTGAAAAGCTGAGGCGTTATGGTAAGGTCCCAAAGCCAGCATCTCAAGCCTTGCAGAGTCCTTCAAGCCTGGGGCCCTACAACCTAAACCCTAAGACCTAAACCCTAAACCCTCAACCCTAGACCCCAAACCCTAAACCCTAAAAAGCCCTAAGCCCTAGCCCCAGACCCTGAAACGCCGGCGATTGGTTTAGGGCTGAGGGGCTCAGCTTAGCCTTCCCCAGCTCTCGGGCGCTACTCCCCACGTCTCAACTCTGGGGTTTAGGGCCTGTTTATTGGGGGTTTAGGAGTCAACTCCTCCTGCCGCCATCTCCAACTCTAGGGTGTAGGGTTTAAGGCCTGTTTATTGGGGGCTTGCTGCCGTGGCCAATGGGAGTTAGGATTAGGGGGACCCTTGAGGATATGGACCCTCTCAATAAGGTCCCTTATAAGAGAGCCAGAAGTAGGGTTCAGAAGGGTCCCTTTAAGGGGTCTCCCTAATACTAGCCCTAAACCCTAAACCCTGAAGCCCTCAAACCCTAAACTCTAAACCCTAAACCCAGGAGCCAAGGCTCGATCACCTTCCTCCTTGCCCTGGAAGGAACTTTGGGCACAGCCTGCCAAGGTTGCGTTTAGGGTCTAGGGTTTAGGTTTTAGGGTTTAGGTTTAGGTTTAGGGTTTAGGGTTTAGGGTTCAGCCTGCCAAGGTTGTGGCCTACGCTTTTTGGCCCACGACCGAGCATGACCAACAACACGTGTGACTGCACATGCCTGCAACTCGACGCCCAAATCCTAAAACCCTAAACCC